TTGGGCCAAAAAGCAGCTGAAAAATATGTGCAGGAATTCAAGGAGTACATAGACAATGAAGAATTGAAACCTGAACAAGTGTTTAATTTGTGAACTGACAATGTTGTGAAACACTTGAGGAATGTCATAAAGGAACGGGAGATACAGGTCTCTATGGACAGATATGTTGTGCGACAGAGGTCCAGTGACTCTCAAGCTGGTCCTAGTGGCATTAAAAGAAGAAGGGAAGTAACCCCGAAAAAGGACTTGCCACCTCAAGTCCTAATGGAAGGGATTCCCCTTCTAAACACTAACACCATCAACACTCTCCCCCTCCTCCCATCCCATCAATCATCACCAGATTTTCAATAAAGGTAAGTGTCATGTAACTGTGCATGTTTCTTCAGTTTGTGTGTATTAAAATTAATATTTCATGTTTTAAATTTTTTTTTTTTTTAAAATACTTTTGGGTGTTTTGGGCACGGATTAATTTGATTTCCATTATTTCTTAGGGGGAAAATTAAACTTGACTAACATAATTTTGACTAACGATGAGCTCTCAGGAAGGGAAATTAATAGCTTTTAGTCGAGGGCCCCACTGTAGTTTTTTTGTTTTTTTCTACTTTTTTCTTTTATTTTTTAATATTTTATTTTTCAAGTAGTTTTTATGGCCTCTGAGACCAATATAAAGACTAAATGGTAAATATTTACTCATTGTTACTACACAATAACAGCACAAACTTTGCTGTCATTATATTGTTTACAAAACATGTTTTTCACAAACTAAAAATAAAAAATGTTGTTTATTACTATTTTTCTATCATATATATATACACATATAGAGTCACTGGACGGTTCCTATAACTGCAAGAGGTTCTGAAAGTTTGGTAGTTGTGTGGGGTGGACTTGAATTATGCGAGTCACCGGCATGTCTTTGTCACAAGATGCATCATACCACCACTCACTAACCCTCACTGCCTTCCACAACACATCCCTTCCTCCCCACAAAACCTTTTCCCCTTCCTTCCTTCCTTCCTTCTCCTACCTACTACCTACCTACTACCTACCTACCTACCTACCTACCTACCTACCTACCTACCTACCTACTACCTACCTACCTACCTACCTACCTACCTACCTACCTACCTCCCTACCTACCTACCTACTACCTACCTACCTACCTACCTTACCTTACCTTACCTTCCCTTTACCTTACCTTCCCTTTACCTTACCTACCTTACCTACCTTACCTACTTACCACCTTACCTACCTTACCACTTACCAACCTTACCTCCCTTTACCTACCTACCCCCTTTACCTCCCTTACCTCCCTTTACCTACCTTCCCTCCATCTCTCCTGCCTACCTTCCCTTCTTCCTACCAACCTACCTTCCCTCCCTCCTTCCTTCTTCCTTCAAGAAACTTTTATGGCCTGTGAGACCAATTATAAGGTATATGAATGTATATTCACTCATTGTATGCTACAAAACAACTGTAACAGTCATTATATTGTTTACAAAACATGTTTACACAAACCCAAACAATAAAGAATGTTGTTTATTACTATTTTTCTATCATATATACACACACACACAAAGTCACTGGACATTTCCCCAGAACTGCTACAGCTTCTGTAAAGCTTGTAGTTGTGTGGGGGTGGACGTGTAAATATGCTGAGTCACTGGCATAGTGTCACAATGACAAATCACACCATCATTCACCACCCTCACTGCCTGTCAACACCCATCCCTTCCTCCCTACCCCACCAACCCACATGGAAATAAGTCACTGTCTGAATTTTTTGGGTTATCCTAGGTTAATGGTCTCCTTCTTTCCTTCCTCTCATCTCATCTCATCTCTTCCTTTCTTCCTCTCATCTCTTCCTTCCTCTCATCTCTTCCTTCCTTCCTCCCTTTCTTCCTACCTTCCTTCCTTCTTCCTTCCTTTTTCCTTCTTTCCTTCTGGTTTCCTGGGCATTGCTTTCAATCATAAACTCCTCAAAAACCATGAAATTCATCTTCACTGACACTTCCATCTGTGTTTGAACTGTCACTTGGGAACAAAAGAGCCCCAATTTGCCGAGGAGTGAGGAGTTTCTTAGCGCTTGACATGGTGAACAAGGTGTAATAAAATGGCTTTCTCACAGTGCACCACTGGGTCCCCGATTTTTTTTTATACTACGCACACTGACCACAGAGACCCATTCTCTCACATCTAGGCCTACCAGCCTTCTCCAGCTTGATTTGAGGACGCTAGAATTTATGCGAACTAGTACGTCAATAACCCTGGCGTGTAAGATGTACTAGTACGTCAAAAACCATGAAAGGGTTAAACCACAAGTATGGTTGGAGTTTTTTTCTCATTATGCACTGCGTGCTGTAGGATTTTTTTTTTATACTGCACACACTGACTATTCAGACCCATTATCTCACATGTAGTGTACCAGCTTTCTTTTGCAAGATTGGAAGCCACTATAATTTTGGCGTAATATTATGGCACCAACACGGGCTTGCAAGCCATAATACGTTATTATGACACCGACAGTGAAAGGGTTAAGCCCTGTCTTTATTGCTTTTCATATTGTTGTTTCTTATCAATGGATCATAGTATGCTGTTAGCCATGGGCAACCTTGCTGTTTATTCATAATCTGCTTTGTTTTTATGGGACAGTGTTTTTATATAGTCTAAGAAATTTATTAAGAAATATGTCTATAACATTATAACATTTTTAGTATATTTTTAAATGTTTATACAGTAGTGTACTGTATACTGTAATTAACAGAATAGAGGAAATCAGCTCTAATAAACATTACTTAGGTTTGCATACTGGTTGGAGAGCTAGTCGTAAGTTCGAGCAGTCATTAAGTGAGGAATACTTGTATATCTTCCATTATGTCAAATGAGATCAGAAACACGAGAATACAAAAATAAAACCCATACGAAAATCCACCACAAGGTTGCTGTTTTAAACCAAAAACATGGATGCAGGTTTTTCCCCATTATGCACTGCTTGCTGCAGGATTTTTTTTATATGGTGCACCCTTACTGCATAGACCCATTCTCTCATATCTAGGCCCAAATTTACCACTCACAGCTTATATGAGTGAGCTGAGCCTATGGCGTAGTACTATGGACCAACAATGGCTCCAAAACCGTAGAACAACCACCACCACCTCCAAGCCATTTTAACCCTTTCAGGGTTCCCAGGCCCTCTCCCAGACTTGTTCTCAGGGTTGCCCAAATTAAAAAAAAAAAAATATTTTTTCTTATGAAAAGATAGAGAATCTCTTCCCAATCATAATGACACCAAAAGTATGAAATTTGATGGAAAACTTACAGAATTATGCTCTCACGAAGTTAGTGGTCTCGACGATGTTTACGCATCGGCAATTTTGCCCACTTTGAGCCCTATTTTCGGCCAATTCCAGTGTACTAGTCGACAAAAATCATAACTATTTCTCTAGAACTCCATTTTTTCTATCAAATGAGTACAAGAAACCACCCATTTACCGATTTCAACTATCCAATACAGTGGTCAGAATTTAGCAATTTTGCCAATTTCACACAAATTTCAGAAGATGCCAGTTTCCAAATAGGGTCCAGAATAAATAAGAAAGACATTCCTGGCACTAAAATAACATTTCCTCTGTTCATTAGTCATGTCCCCATGCCCCTCTTACATTCTTTTGCTTTCCACTTTGAATTTTTATTCTCACAAAACAATAGAAGATTTACTGTTTATAATATCCGCGCACTTGTGAAAGAATATTAGACTCACCAGTTGATGTGTATTAGACACTTAGCATGATTTGTTTACTTTTGAACTTTGGTAAAAATCGAACATTTCTGCTACTTTGAGCTCAATTTCAAGGTACTTTTCATTGTAAAACCAGTCAAAATCATCTCAATTTCTGTAATATGTCTTCCATTCTATATAATGAGACCAGGAAAACTAGAATACAACAATGAATATCATATGAAAATACAGTGCAAAGTCGCTGTTTTAATCCAAAAACACGGTCAAAGTTTTTTTTTTCTCATTACACACTATGTGCTGCAGGATTTTTTTTTATGCTGCGCACACTGACCACATAGACCCATTCTTTCATATGTAGGCCTACCAACTTTCTCTCACTAGATTTGAGGGTGCTAGAATTTAGACGTACTAGTACATCAAAAACCCTGGTGCGTAAGCCGTACTAGTATATCCGAAACCCTGAAAGGGTTAACCCTTTGAGGGTCCATCCCGTAGTCTACGGCTTTGAAGCCAGGGTCCAAGCTGTAGTATTATGTGATGAGCTCAGCTCAGCTCAGCTCAGGTAAGCTGTAAGCAGTAAATTTGGGCCTAGATATGAGAGAATGCATCAATGTGGTAATTGTCCACCACATAAAACAAATCCTGCAGCATGCAGTGCATAATGAGAAAAAAACTGCAACCATGTTTTTGGATTAAAACAGCGACTTTGTAGTGTATTTTCTTATGGTTTTTACGGTTACATTCGCAGTTTTTTATCTCATCTGATAGAATGGAGGATATATTACAGAAACAAAGATGACTGATAATAGCTTGAAATTGAGCTCAAAGTAGCAGAAATGTTCGATTTTTGCTGATGTTCAAGAGCATGCAGATCACATTACACATCCAATACATGTCAGCTGGTGGGTCTAATGTGCGTTCATGAATGCACTGTAAATGGGGAATTTTCAGATTGGGGGTCTGGGCCCTCAAAGGATTAATGTAATATTGTTACATTTTGCTTCACTTTTTATTGGTTATTCCTTTCTGAAATGCATTCAGCACTAGTATAGGTGTAGTGAGTTCTTGTACATGAAGCTATGATGATGAATGAAAGTTGAAGATAAACTAACCAATGAACTTAATGTATTTGCACAACAAGTTTAATGAATTTTCAAATTGCATAAGTTTCTCATTCATTTCTTTTAATATTTTCTAAAAATTTTGGAATATCATAATCAACTTTTTAATAATTGCACACTTATAGTGATTACATATTTTTCAGACGAGAAACAGACGTGAAGTGACCAGATGCTCATGAAATAAATGTTATTCTCTGTCAAGTCATAAGGGAAATAGTTTCCGAGTATATATTTTAGAGCATCACCATGGAGACTTGTGATATTTTTCAAGTGAGTAAAGAGACTTGTAACTTGTATGTAATGCAGTATAATTATTTAATTATAGACAAATATATATTTCAGATAATTTTTGCAATGGTAGAGCTTGTACTCCCAGGTTTGTTAACCATATCATAGGGAAGTTTGAAGTACAAGAAAAGCATGATTATATCAAGCTTTAAATCGTTTTTCTTGAAATGTGATCATCATTTCCATAGTGAATTTAGATTTAGATGTAGATGTAATATGATTACAATGACTATTTATTATGTACCATTTTTTTTCAGTTGAATTTAACTGATGTTGCATTATGAAACCCTAATTTCATCCCCAAAAATTTAGTATTTGAGATGAATAAGTATAATTTTTTCTATTGTATGTACAGTATTCTCTAGCACCAGAATGATTTATTAAAATCATTACACAAGCCACATTATTTAGAATAACGCATGCACAGGGGTGTCCAAATTTTTAAAGAATGTTGTTTACAGTATAATCCAGCACTGTAATAGAAACTGGGCACCTCTCTCATTCAAAAGAAAAAAAAATTTTAATTGATTATTTTTACTCTGATTTTTAGAGATCATTCCTAATTCAAATTTTTGAGAAAAAAAATCTTTCATTTAAAATCATTCTGAAACAAAGTTTTTTCTTATTAAAATTTGGAACATTATCTTTTATTATGAAAATCTTGAATTTAGAAGATACTATGCACTAATTTAAAATTATCAGTTGACTTTGGATTTTAAATACTGTGCTGTACTTTAATAGTTGCAAATGAAAGAGACTGTACTGTAATAAAATGGAGAGCAAATATGCAATTAATTTATTGACAAAACAAATCTATACCAGTCATAATAATATGCCCGTACTATACTTCTAAGTACTGTCCATCTATACTCTCCACACATTTCTACTGGTATACCATATGCAGATACTGTACTTTAGTTAAATTTGGCAGGTAATAAGGTTTCCCCATCCAAGACCTCTGTAGCATCACCCCATCCTCCTAAGCCAATATTGTTTTTTTCATTTTGGCTGAAGGCTGTCTGTAAAGTGATATTTATACTATAATATAAATGTGAGTTTTTTTTCTTCTTCTTCTTCTTCTTTCTTTCTTTCTTTCTTCTTTCTTCTTCTTCTTCTTCCAACTGGTGGATCCCAGTTGTCTGTTGGCACCTGAAAAATTTTTATTGCCTTGATGTATTATTTTAATGGTGTTATTGAATTTGTACAGTAATTGGTTAAATTTTTGTTAACAGATGATAGTCTAATTTAAGTGATGTAGGTATGAAAAATTAGCTTTAAAATAAGTATAAGACATCCAGCTAACTGTAATAAATTGAAATGAATATGGCAGTTCTCATATTTTCCATTATATAAGATTTTTTCAAAAACTTAAAGACTACAAAACACCTTGCATTTTATGCAGCCTATGTCAAAAATGTTACAGAAAAAAAAAATGTTTATGGAGAAGCAGTAAGCCCATTAGTCATACAGCACCAGGGAAACGGGAAGGGTTGATCAGTTAGAAATGCTGTAATCAGGTTTGATGCAAGGATAGATCCAATTTATGATCATAAAAGGAATGTCTTTTGCTTCCATTTAGAATTGGTGGTGCTGCTATTGTTAGATATTAAGGGTACAGTGACCTGAGGGCCATATAAAATTGTAGCTACTGGTTTAACATTTTAGGGGTTATGAGATGTGTGGATTGGTGAACACCAAAACAAACATGTTAATAAGACACAAGATGTGTTTTATGACAGTTTATTGTGATATTTTGTCCACTGGGGACCGAACATCATACCCATTCAAGCCAAAAAATCACACACGTGTGATTATTGTAGGTGTTGTGTGGTCACTTAGCAACTCTTTCATAATACTATGTATTATGCCGGGATGTGAAGTGTGTTCCTTCTAAAAACTCATACTGTACACATTGTACAGTGTTTAAATGCAAATTCAAACACAATATTAAATAATGACTTCTTACCATTGTGTTTGTACATTTTTAAATTTTGAGTACAGATGTATAAAATTAATTTAAATTGTTCTTCTTAGCTTAACTGTAATTTATTGTATGTTCTATCATAGAATAATAAAAGTATAAATGATATAGGAAATGTTTCAAGAAACCAGTGTTTCAAGGTAAGCTGTGTACACCAGTGATTCCAGTGTATAATAATGTAAAAATTGTGCCAGGATGCTTTTCTAATGACATCTGAAGAAAAAATGGTCCACATTCTGTCCTGCAGTACTGTATTCCCAGTTTCTTAAATTTGTTGGCTAATTTTTTTTTAACACATTGATCCTCTTCCACTGAGGTAGGGTGTCCCAGAAAAGGAAGCACATTCACCATTACTTATTCAGTAGCTGTCTTGCCAGATTGTGTGAACATCGTAATTCAGATGACCCTCTAAACTGTAATTTCCCCACCCCCTTTTTCAGAGTGCAGACACTGTATTTCCCACCTTCAGAACTCAAGACCAGCTAACCGCTTTACCCGATTCTCTTTGTGTTGTTACCTTCCTCACACTCCATTCATTCTGACATAACATGCTTACACAAGCCTGTTGGATGCTCAGGCCCTTAGCACTCAAAACTTTACCCCCCCTCCCCCTCCATCCAACCCTTTCTGTGATGACCCTTATCCTTCTTTTCTTCGACCTAAGATTTATAAACCCTCCATCTTCTCTGTATTCTGGTACATTTCCCTTTTGCCTCCATAGATAAACTTTCCTCTTTCCACAAATGGCTGAGCATGCCCCTTACCTTTTTTCCCCAACAGGATCAGCCTTAATAGCATTGCCCATATGCTGTCTAATGGAAAAGAAAACTACAAAACATTGAAATTTGTTAATGTCATTTGCATTGATCAACAGGCACTGTATTTCTAAATGTAAATTGGTCTAAACATCCTTAATTAATTCTACCATTTGCTTTACCCAGTAGTATACTCAGCAGGGTTATTACCCTATAATTCTTACACTTTATCTTATCCCCTTTTTCTTTATACAAAGGAACAATGCATGCTTTCTGGTAATCATTAAGTTATTTCTCTGTTTCATGCATTTTTTTTTTTTTTCAACAAGTCAGTCGTCTCCCACCGAGGCAGGGTGACCCAAAAAAAGAAAGAAAATCCCCAAAAAGAAAATACTTTCATCATCATTCAACACTTTCACCACACTCACACATTATCACTGCTTTTGCAGAGGCGCTCAGAATACAACAGCTTAGAAGCATATACGTATAAAGATACACAACATATCCCTCCAAACTGCCATGTATTGAACAAATACACTGGTCATCAGTTCCAAAACTAGATCCCTACCTGTTTTTATCATTTGCCCCTACTGCTTTACTCCTTTTTCATTTTACCCACTGTCTCATGCACTTCCTCCACATTCACATTTGGCTTTTCCTTACTTCTATAAAATGTTATTCCTCCTTACCCAACACATGAAATTATCACCTCCATTTCTTCATTAAACACTTAACTGCTTTTCAAAATTATCCCCTCCATTTTCCCAGAACCTCCACCTCCTCTTACATTTTTAACTGCCAATTCCACTTGTTCCCCAGATTTTTGTAACATTATTATTATTAATTTTATTCTTATGTTTAGGGGAACTTCATAGTGCCTGGGAGGCAATCAGGTTCAATTCAAGGAAGGTAATGACAGGTCCAGTTTCTTAGATTAAGATCATCTCTCCAGCATCAGTAAACCTTCCTGGAGAAGTATATAGTATAAGATTCATGAGTTTGTCATTGCAGTACTTATTTATGGTGGGTAATGGGAGTTTATTTTTTATATATTCTCTTATAAAGTGTTACCTTGACTTACGAGTTTAACCCCTTAACTGTCCAAATGTAGAGCTATGTTCTTACCGCTAGCGCTCCAAACAGAGCAACATTTTATTTTTCCTGCCTCTAAATTTGACACAATTGGTATGCGATGCCTGGTCAGCATAGAATGAGTCTTAACACTCGGTGTGCGAAGTATTAAAGAAATCTGGAACCACTTAGTACCTTGTGGGAGCACCAGTTCAACTGAGCACCAGCTAGAGCAAACAGCTGGGATTCACTGATGTCATGTAGTATTAACACTCCCATTTTAAGAGAAAAGTAATGTTGACCCCGAGTTTAGTGGCTTTGAGGTGGATGTGGCCACGATAATAACCCATGTGCAACATTTGTGCAACACCCTTTCAATTTTGGTACCACTGGTAGTGTCATCCTGCCAGAATGTCACTCCACTGCTGCACTGTCAGCAGTGGAGTGACACTCGTCTTACACCATGCTTCAAGGAAACTTATTATTATTATATATTCCCACATATCCAAAACATTGCTAGGACCTATAAATACTATGTATATATTTCTAGACAATAGTATGTGACTAAGGTAGGTGAAAATGTTCACCTGTCACTGTGTTTGTGACTATTTGAGTACTATTTCAGTATCTAATATTAGTATCAGAACAAAGATTAGCTATGAAATCACAAGAACTACTATAAATTGTAATTATCAGAACATAAAAATTATACAAATTAAAAAAAAAAAAGAGAAAAAAAAGGTATATCGGCAACACTTTTGCAAATGGCAGCTCTTCATGTTGCCGTCAGGTGAGCGACAAGTGCCGACTTTGCGGCCTTATATTTCCATAAGCACTGACTAAATTTTTTTTTTTTTACATTACTTTATGTAAAAACGTGTCCTCTTTATTTATATATATTTTTTTCTTTTTTTCAAAATATTCAGAGCGCTGGGCGAGAGAACGTAGATATATGTTTGGACAGTTAAGGGTTAATTCGTTCTGTGACTGAGCCCGTATATCAAATCAATTCTCCTCATTGAAATTAACCCGTTACAGCGGAATTCCTGGCTCTCGGGAAGCAGGAAAAAATACTTCAGTGTAACACTAATATCAACTCTACGGCTTACTTATCTATCACAATTGATCTAATATGACATAATAAACAATATAAGAACATAAGAAAGAAGGAACACTGCAACAGGCCTACTGGCTCATGCGAGGCAGGTCCAATTCACCCACCGGCTTAAGCCAATGCCTTAAGGTAGGCATGTCAGGTCACATTCACTAAGGAAGGAGCATGGCAACTGACCTAGTAGCACAAGCTAGTCAGGTCCAACTCACACCCACTAATGTATTTATCTAACCTATTTAAAAAAAAAAAAAAAAGTCTTAGCTTCTATGATGGTACATATTTGGGAGTTTGTTCCACTCATCCACAACTCTATTACCAAACCAGTGATTTCCTATGTCCTTCCTGAATCTGAATTTTTTCAACTTAAATCCACTGCTGCATGTCCTGTCTAGGCTAGATATTTTTAGCACACTATTTCCATCCCCTTTATTAATTCCTGATTTCCATTTATACACCTCATGATATATACTCTAGAATGAATAAAATACAGTAGTATGTCATATGATGAGCGGTGGCAGCCACTCCCAAGGTAAAAATAATTATCGCTCTGACCATATCTTCCCATTCTTGCCCTTCTGAGGTGTTGTTATAAGAGAAAGCAGTGTGTTTGTGAGGCTAACTGCACTAGATCACTAGTTTCATAAGGAAAACACTGAAACAAAAGCGATTTTCTCGTGTTTTTCTATAATTTCATGCTTTAATTCAATGGATATCATCCTCTTCTTCTCAGCACTGTCCATTGCACTTACTTTCTTAATACCCATAGTTAGAAAAAATAAATTTGGCAAAATAACTGCACAAAAAGCACAAAACACTGGGATGCTGGGCAGATGTGGTGGCATTTGCTGCGCCAACTAGTGGTGGCAAATCTGAAGCTCGCTCATAACTTGGGTTTTGGCTCGCAACTCAGAGCAAAAAATTGACCGAGCGACAGCTGGTAACTTGGAAAACTTGTAAGTTGGGGCACTCATAAGTCAAGGTATCACTTTATTAATAAATATATTATTGATCGATCATATAATAGCCAGTCTAAAACATTGTGTGCATTATTTAGGAAAAGATATGTACTCAACAAACGAGTTATCAGTATTTCAGCATCATTTTTTTTTCCACAGCAAAAAATTAAATATGTAGCTTGTGTTTTATCAGATTTGTAGTGGAACAATTGAAGAAATTAATTTCCTTTAAAGTATTTTTCACTTCTTTACTGCCCTTCATGTATACTAGATTAATTATTAAATAATATTGTATAGTACTCTATTTTATACTAGTATTGTCAAAACCATGTAACTGCTGTGCTTTGTAGGAAGAGTTTGTAATCTTTGCTTCTAAAATAATTATTATTTTGCCACACAAGGAGAGTGTAAATTCACTGTTGCCTAGCTTCACATAAACCAGTCTGA